CCTTTCCAGAATACCAAATTAGTAAAGATTCATCCTGGAAAAATTAGAAAATACTCTAATGAGACAAAATTATGAACCAAAAAGTAAACAATCCTCTGGTTAGATACATACAGCTTCCTGATTTTTATTCAGATTATAGCGGGTTATACAACACCTTTAACAGCAAAAGAGAAAAAAAATACTATCTGCAGCAATCATATATAACAAGAAACAATTTCTAAGATTCATTAAAAGTTAAGGGCACATAAAAAATAAGCAAGAATGAATAAGGACATAAGTATACTATTCATCTAGGTAAATAAACCAACTTACATTAGAAAGCCTGAAAGGACAAAACTTTGGCTTCCCTCTTCGCCCATACTTCAATAGATGTGCTCCTTTCTTTAAGGCTGTGATTGCCTGGGCATCCTGATGTAGTTAGCATCAACAGTACAAAAATAGCACTTGGCAAATTGTGCCAAGCAATTGTTCTTATATCTTGAGTATAAAAAACAAGAGAAAGAGAAAAATAAGAGATACAATAGGTATGATTTGAGGAAAAGAAATTCCAGAATCAATCTTCAGTGTCACCAAAGCTAACCAGGGACAAATTTCATATTTTCATCCCATAGCAGTCTAAAATTATAGACAAATTTTTAACTGGGTTAGTTAGCTAACCGTATAAAGTACCTGATGGCACACAAGTCAAGGAGTATGTGCTGCATAACAAATGCAGGTATCATAGAGAGAAGGCTCGATCTCATGTGCAACAACAACCAGCTTCAAATAGATTTAGCTAAAGACACTAAAGTTGGAGTTAGTTTGAGTTAAATAATTTTTGAGAAAAAAAAATTTACCCACTTTTGGTTTAACATAATTTTACATCACCACATGTGGTTAAAAGGATGGCACTTTACCCACCTGAGGCTAGATCCGTCTTGCTTGGTGCTATCTCTGAAGGGGCCAATTCAGTTCATAGAAGTAGGGCCATTATGGGGGTGGTTTAGGGTCCACCTGCTCCATAACAAAAGTCATATATGATTGTTTGGATGCTATTTGCTTGTGCAAACCTACGAGAGCTTGGGGGTGAAAGATCTCAGGGTAGTTGTTCGAGGGAAGAAGTCACTATTAGTTCAGGTAGTAGCATAACTTCTAAGAAAAGATATGTTTACATGGGCACTTTAGCCAAGCATTCAATCACCTATAATGTATTTCTGCAGATAAATAAAACAGAAGAACAATGAAAATGAACTAATCTACACAATTCCTCAATCCAAAAATTCATTTTCATTGCTTATCACATGCTTTCCATAGCACAAAAATGGCATCATCATACACGTGTGTCATGAACCCCAATGAAAGATATATATACATATAACTTCGGAGTTCATATGCATCTTTTACTCAATGATTTAGCAAAAAAAATGTGTATTCACAAATGATATGAAGGATCTGCCTGGGGGAGTATGCACAACAAGGAGTAACCATGGGAATCAAAACTACTAAACACTCACTTCATCAAATGACAAGGATATAGCTAGGAAATCAGCACAAAAGAACAAGATTCAAGATGGATAGGCATAGGTTTATAACAGGCATCTTCTATAATGATGGGGTGTTAATTTAATCTGAAAGTTCAAAGAGGAAGAGGACATAGGACAAGGAGATTTTTTGCACTGGAGACCTCCAAGTTTCGAGAGGATGAGATAAGACTTTCCATGCCAATGTTTACATCAAAAGTCTAGGATAATAGATTGAACGTCTCTATTTGTTTTTCTAACAAAATGACAAGGAAACATAAGACAACAGTGCATACAAAAAGGAGATAGTGGGAAAAAAAGACGGATGCTGCAAGATGATACCTGCTCAACATCCCTCTCAACAGAACCATTTCTCAGAGGATCTGCCATTCACCTACTGGAATTACACAACACATGCACAAAGAACAAGCCTCGTCTGCATAATGGCCAGAAGATACAACGCTGCCAGAAAGTATCTGAGGCTGCCCCATAAACGAACTCGAGATGAGCCTTCGCTTATGGAGCAGAACTCCACATAATAATTCACTCTATTCCATCAAAGCATGTGGAAAGACCAAGAGGGATGAAAGCCCCCACGATCCAAGCATCCAAATCAACAGCAGCAGAAACTGCAGTTTCAACCCACGTTAAAGCCTTCCAAGATCAACGAACCCCAATGCCGGTGTTTCCCACACTAAAAACGCACAAGGAAACAAAGAACAGAATAATTTTGCAAGAAATTCCGACGACTTAAGGGGATCTTGCCAGCCAATTTGCTGAAACAGCTCCGGAGCTAAGAAATAACTCAATGATCTTGATGGGAACCCTAGAAAGTCGTGATTCCCGAAAGAAACCCTCGAACTCCACGAGACGCCACGAAATTGACCAGGCTTCCGAATGGGGCCTCCAAGGAGACGAAGAGCTGCCGTGGAAGGACTGTCGACGGGATACCCTAATCCACGACGAAGGCGTTGGAATCTTGGGTCATGGACGAGGGCGTTTCAACCCAGGTTAAGGCCTTCCAAGATCAAGAACCGCAATGCCGGTGTTTCCCACCCTAAAAGCGCATAAGGAAACCAAGCATAGGATGACCTCACGATAAATTCCAACAACGCCGGATCTCGGGAATAGCTCAAAGATCTTGACGGAAATCTTCGAACTCCACGACACGCCGGGAAACCGCCCAGGCCTCCGAATCAAAACACACGGGACATCCAAGGCGAAGAAGGGCTACCGTGGACGGACCGGCGACGGAATGCTCTAATCAACGACGAAGGCGATGGAATCTTGGATCATCGGGCTCGGCTGGACGAGGGGAAGCGATCGGCCCCGCTTGTAGGGAATCGCGCGTTATTCTGGATCTCCGCCGCGCACGAGACCGAGAGATGATCTGATCGAGAGCTTCGCCGCCCAACGAAGCAGAAGAAGAAGAAGACAAAAGAAGAGAGAGAGAGAGAGGTGACGAATTCAAATGCGGTGATCCCTGCAATTGCTAACTTGCGCCCCTCTCTCTCTCTCTCTCCTCTCTCTTTCATTCTTTCCCGTAATTAATGAACACGTCAGCAGCAAAACCCCGTTAAAGCTGAGATCAAATGCACATTAAATTAAAAGGGCGGAAGAAAGAAACACGCACCGAGAGAACCACCCACAATTCTCTCACATGAGACTGTCCTCCGGGACCCGCTGACATAGACTTCGCCACATAGGACGAGAAGCCAACGGTGTCCTGCTAAATTTATGGGGAGCCACACGTGCCTTTTCAGAATTAAGTAATTATATCACTTTAGAGAAATAATTAGATAATTAATTTTATTATTATTAGTAGGCAAAACTGCATATTAAGTAAGTGTTTGTCCAATTGGTCTCTCTAAATTTATAATTAGCATATATATGCTTGAATTTTTTTCTACATCAGTTAACTTACTATTTAGAACTATAAATTATATTAAACAATATAGGGATTTTTATGATAATCAAAATTATATTATTTGAATGTAAAATCTTTGGCAAAATCTTTATATCCTTTTGAACTCAAACTAACTAATATGAATTATATTAGACATAATTAACCTTATTTTTATCATTTATTTTCTTTATCATTTTATAGGAGCAAATGTGAAGATTACTAATTTAGAAGGAAACATTTGAAGATATACTGATGCTAATTAGAATTTTATAGTCATTTCATTGGTGATACATGGATTAATTATAATGACATCGTCATAAATTTTTGAAGAAGAAGAAAATGAAAATATATTCCAGTCTTAAATGTATATATATAATAATACAGGATCATATTCCAAAATGTATGTGGGAGAGATCAAAAGATCATCTCCCACTTAGCTCAAGTAAGTTGATGAGGTATCAGAAGAGAGTGATTGTGTCTGGACTCTTTCTTAATCATGATCTCCTCAAGAAAGAAGAAATTAAGTCTAAGCTAATTGAATTAAAGTTCTCATTTGCTTGTTTAATTGTAATGTTTAGTCAACATTTGAATCTGAGGTTTGTTTTTCTAATGACTCTTTCTTCAGTCACACTAAAATATGATAATGAATGACTCTTTGAGAGTCTAAGAATTAATACTTCTTCTTTTGAAGGGAAAATGGAAGAGATCCACCATGTTGAATCTCTATATCCAGCAGTAATGCACCATGGTTTCATCATGCTGCCATCAAAACAAAATAATTCATGTGCAGCAGCAGCCATGATAGGAGAACATAAAGCATCAGATATCCTGGAATGGAGCTTTTCCCAGAGAGAGAGAGAGAGAGAGAGAGAGGAATATAAATGTTGAAGCATGCGGTAGAGAGGACATTAGATTCATCCTAAAGTGACTACAATGTGTCAGATATCATTTGCACAAAGAGATCACAGGAGGAAATATATGACCTTCAACAGTTAACTAAATATACTTCCAAATCAAGCTGACATATCTGTGTTTTAAGCAGCCATTGGAAGATGACTTCACAAGGAAGAGTAACAGTCGACCTTGTTCTCGGAGGAGATGAGCTTAAGAGAGAGGAGAGAAAGGATAAGGCTTAATTCATGTGGTTAGGGTTACCCACTGTGACAACTCGACTGTGATAGAGAAAGAGCCGACAGCCTGCGCTAGCGTGGAATTATGACAGCTTTGGCCTTTTGCCATGCTCCTCCTTCACATTCATCCATCCATGGCAGACTCAGACGGTGCTGTGGCTGAGAGCTCCTGCATGCCAGTATTGTATTTTGATGGGTGTTTTCATGTACAGAGAAATGGGACAACACTTGTATGTGTTTGGATGTGTATATGGAACTGTAGCGCAACACATTCCAAGAGGCAGCAATCATTGATCATATCACTCTCTGAGTGATTCTGAAGTTGACGTGCTGCTGAGCTCGATGCGTCTTTCTGGTCACCTTCATTGAATAGGAGCCTCTCTCTCTCTCTCTCTCTCTCTCTCTCTCTCTCTCTCTCTCTTTCGGTTGATGAGCATCTTGCAGCCACCCAATAAGAAATGGAGAAGAAGAAAAGAGATCATGTTATGAAAGATAGGATCACAACACTGTGTGTCGATCCAAATTAAGGTAGTGAAACCATCAAAACCTGCCATTTCACACACAGAAATGACTTGCATTCGTATTGCGAGTGACGGACGTAGGCTTATAGTCAAAACAAATAGAGTAAAAAATCATCCAAAAATCGAAAGATTAAAGCAGAAGAAGAGGGAAAACCAGCGCATGCATGGTTGTGAGGCCGAGCTACGAATCGCTGGTGCTCATCGTGTCATGGCGCTCGCTGTCTCGGTGCGATTGTTGGGTCATAGACTGCATCGCCTCGGAGTTGCTCGGCGACGATCGGTACATGTTGAGGGCGGAAGGGATTCCCGTGTACCCCTCGCCGCCGCCGGAACCCAGCCCAAGCTGCTGGCTTGGCAGAAGAGCCATGGGCGTAGGGATGTTCATGAAGTGCAGACCGCCGGACATGGATCCTCTAAGCATGGAGGCATTTGCTGCTTGAGGGAATGTCCATATAGACTGGTTGCTACTGCCCACCATGTCTTGTGCGTTAGGGTTTGTGACCATCCATACAGTTCCTGGCATCTGCCCATGGCTTGCCTGGCTGTAGCCTGCCATCTGATGCTGCACTGGCGATGGTTGATGCTGATGAATCTCCGACTCCCATCGGCGTTTCCTTATGTTCCCGATGTCGGCCTCCGACGATGCGTCGAGGCCGATGCTGCATGAGTTGAAATTGAGAAGCACGGAGGAGGAGGACGACGGGACCTCCGGGGGGAAAGCAGAGCTGCCGCCACGTTCCCATTCGTTGTGGAACCGAAGGGACGGGCCGGGGTGAGCGGCCGCCACGCCACCGAAGTAATTCGCGGCGCGGAGGTGGGAGGGAGCGGACACGCTGGAGCCGGAGCCGCGGAGGGAGATGTTGAGCGAGGTGAAGTTGGCGGGGATGGTGCCGGTGCCCGTGGCCGCGATCACCGCGGGCTCGGCCTGCTGGAGCAGCCACTCGATGGTCTCCCCGTCGGTCTTGTGGCCCAGCTCGCGCGTGAGCTGGAAGACGCGAGCTGCGCAGAGGGCGGGCATGCGGATCCGGCGGCCGCGCCCCTCGACCTTGGTGTGGCGGTCCTTGTTGGAGCTCCGCTTGGGCGGCGGCTTCCTCAGTCGGTCAGCGGCGATCTCGCCAGCGGCGGTGGTGGAGGATATGGCTAAGGAAGGGTAAGCGGAGCTGGAGCAGGAGTCTTCTTCCTTCTTCTCGAGGAGCTGGAGAGGGAAGTTGGGCCGTCGTGATCCGCCAGGTTCGCCCTCCATGTCTGGATCAGACCATGGTACTTCACAGATAAGGACTTGAGATCTAATGATGGTGAGAGAGGGGCGAGGCACAGGGAACAATCTAACAATCAAACTCCAAGATCCAGCAGCCGATATAGATGCTTTAATTTGCTGTGATGGAGGTCAAGAGGAAGCGATACCTAGAGATCATGCAGGCCTTTGGCTTGTAGAGTACTCAGGATTCCTATATGAGAGATGGTACTACCATTTTATGGGCCTTGTTAGGACATCTCCCGCTGAAAGCTTGAGATGTGAGGCGCTGTAGAGAGCGAGAGAGAGAGAGAGAGCGCGAGCTTCTGGGAAGAGACCAAGCTACTGCATCTAATTTATGCAACTTGTAGGGCACAGTGATGAGGGGTAGGGAGTTGATTGAGGAAGAAATGGATAAAGAGAGACCAAACTACCTCAAGTTTGAAGGAGACTGATGTGAGAGAGAGAGAGAGAGAGAGAGAGAGAGAGAGAGAGAGAGAGAGAAGGTGAACACCTCCAATCTCCTCAGCTTCAGAGAGGGAGAGAGGAAGAAGAAGAAGAAGAAGAAGAAGAAGAAGGCATGGGGGAGGATAAGGGAGAAGAGAGAGGGATTAAGGCAATGGGAAAGCAATGATTATAGAGACAAAGTATAAAGCAGGTCAGGTTGGACACCAATATAAATTCCATGCAATGTTAGTGCACAGGGAAGTTGCAAAATGTCAATTTAATTTATATTATCACCTCAGTAATTTAATTCTATTGCAGTCAGATCTTTTGATTGAGGATGAGTCTAATATCCATACAAATTCAAAAAAAATAGCTATGAAAAAAATTAAATAAGAAAAATACAAGAGTAACAATGAGTTCATAAAGAATATATAAATATATATATCATTTTGTAAGAAGAAAGTAAGAAACAAAAGTATCAAACAGGGTTTTAAAAAACGTATTAAAATTTTCTCTATTTTTTGGGGATGGATAAAAAAAATATTTAATCTCATGTTTTTTTTTTTTTGGCCACAAATTAAGTGTGTAATTTTTATTTTCATTTATTTCTTGGAAATTAATTTGAAGTGGCACAGTCACCTGGCGCAGACTCCACGTGCGGTGCTCTGTTGTCGCGTATTACTCGGAAGGACAGTGGTGGAGACAGCGGGTCCCACTTTGCAAGTCAAAGCACAGGCGACTCCAGAAAGAAGGTGAGCACGTGGGTCAGCCCCCACTCCAGTACGCTTTCCATTTCCTACTCCCCCTTCCTCCCTCCGAGTAAACCCCATGTGTTAAGAGTTAGGGTTAGGGTTTTCTCTCTTCCTTTCTCTTAAACAGGCTGTGCTCAAAATCTCATACGATCAAAACACTTTGCTCTGGTAACCAAATAGAAGAAAATAATATTTGAATTCATGATTTGTTCACTAAGAAATAAACTGGCACTATTTTCATGGTATTTTGAGTGAGTTTTTATAACATGGCTTTGATATCTATATCCTCATTTTAATTGAAAGGTTTTTGCCCTAATAATTTTCTTGATTGTCTTGACATGGATTTATTGGCCTTTTTTTAGAGGAGTCTGCCTTGTGATCAAGGAAGCATGAGTAATATATTTCAACAAAATTGTTGCATGTGTGTTTAGTAAAGTCTTAACATTAATTTGCATGAATTTAATTTATTTTGGGACAATAAATATGTTCTGGATTTTGGATTGTTAACTTCTAATTACTCAATTTTTGCTGATGTCATAATTCATCAAGACAAACTATATTTACTAGGAAAAGAAGTCAATAAAATAAATTACACTTAATGCTGAATCATAAAACAATAATTAATGGACTTGTAATTATAGAAAATGAAAGTTTAATGACAACATAGAGAATATATATATATATATATATATATATATATATATATATATATATATATATATATATATATATATATATATATATATATATATATATATATATTGTAAAGGGTTCAACGTTAACTCGAGTCCAATGTTAATGTGCTTGTTGCAAGTCTTAAAATCGAACTACGATGGTTCTAGAAAGCCTTCTAACAAAATCATATTAAAGGCATGATCGATAAATACCCTATGATACTTTTAAGTTAATAAGTAAATTTAAAAGATTTAAAAATTAGAAGAAAAGTGTTTATACATAATCCAATCATAAAAATCAATAGATGCATGTTTATGGTGGATATTTGAAAATGGGTGAGAGTCGGTGCCAATCATAATCATTAATCAGTACTCGATCGTAAAAACTCTATCAAACCATTGGATATTATGATTACTATGCACGTGTTTCGTGGGTCGCATGAATAAAATGAAAAGTTTAACTAACTTATTAGGTAATTGGGTACCCGAAATGACATTCACTCAAAATCGATTTGATCGTGATACTTGGTTGATACATCATATGGTGTAGGATGGTTCACATGTTGAATCCCCTTTATCACGTTTATATCTGCATCAATTTTTTATAATAATAAACTTTTGATAGTTTGGTATCATTAAAAAAAAAAAAGGATATATTTCCAACATGAATCTCATAATTACAAACATGTTAACCATGAATCAATCAGGTGGCAACTACATGATTGAACAAGTGTTAAGGTGCTCATTTGCCATGAGAATAATTTGAATTGATCTCCCACTTTAATCTAAATTAAAAGCTGAGTAACTCATAACAACATACTCTTAACTTTTATATCCACTATATTCTCATCCCTACCTTCAATACAAATGTGATTAATTAATCATGAGTAGCATTACTTTTGTTCAAATCCTATGAGTCATAAGCCTCTCTCCATAAGGACACATGAATTTGGCTCCTAAATATTTCCAACAATGCAAATTATGTTCAGTATTTCTCAATTTTCCTCAAATTATTCTATCTCAAATATCCTCTCTCTCTCTCTCTCTCTCTCTCTCTCTCTCTCTCTCTCTCTCTCTCTTGCATATGTGTAAATTATATGCATGCTGTCAAAGAAGAAGCTGTAAATGGAATGAAGGAGAAACCGAAACGAGAGTGTTTCTATCTTGAGGTAATCTTTATGGGGAGGGGGAGGGGGAGGGGGGCGCGGAAAAAGCTTGAGGGCATTACGACGCACACATCTTTGTGGGTTGGCCATGATCATGTCCTCGTGCTCTCCCTCACGGTTGCCTCTCTCTTAGCTTGCTGCTGCTGCTGCTGCTGTTGCTGCACCGAAATGGAGGAGACAAGCGCATGTTACAGCCACATAATTGCTGGGCACTCCGCATCGATGGACATGAAGCAGCAGCAAGATGCCTCGCTGCGGAGCTACCATGGCTACCTGCCAACCATCCAATGTTGCTCCATCGACAACAGCGAGTAAAGGCGATGTCAGCCACCCTCCTCCTTTTGGCTGTAAAGTGCTGCTCCCTCGACCTGCAGTGGGACCTCGCTCCCATGGTGATCTCTCTCCCTCCCCTCCTCCTTCCACAGTACTGCCTCTGCCGGTTAACGAGCTCCTCGTGCATCCGCTGCCTGCGCCCATGGCGATGCACCCAATGGTTCGGCCACTGGCCACCAGCCACCGAGACGAGGTGCGAGTAACAGCGATGGCCCTACTACTCACGATGTCCCCTTCCCCCCATGGCGATCTCCTTTTCCTTTTCTTTGTTTAAAGCATGCATGTCACAGCTGGGAATCAAAGGTTGCAGCTGCTGCTATCATTGCCAGGCCATATATAACTTGCAAGGGAAGGAGAAAAGGTGACCATGCAATCCCTTTGCTTTGCTTTCAGGCTTCAGCACAACTCCGAATGCAGATGGATGCAGTTCCCCATGAGTACACCACTGTTACCTAAAGATGAGAATACTCAGTACAGTGGTCGATCATGACAGGATTTGGGATCACACAGTGATGCCCAACATGTCACGGGAAAGGGAAGATGGAAGGTTCCCCCATGACATGATTAGGACCATGGCACCAAATGAGACTTAACCCAGTCATTAATGGAAGGTTGTGAGTGAAGGCTAGCTGATGATGATGATGGCACTCACTATACCTCAATCATCATACACCACCAACAGTGGCAACCATGGTTGCAGGTTCCAGCTTTTTCCAGTACTAATAGCCAAGGAAGCATTTTTTGCATCCTCTTATCAAACTCTTATAATGAGTATGATCATCTCCTGCAGTCATTAAGAAAAAAAAAACAAATTTTTTATTATGCATTTGCAAAATAAATTACCATGATCACAGTCTTATATCTCAGATCTTGTAAGAAAGAAATGAAGAGACTTTTCTAGTGACAAAAAAAAGAAAAAACCTTATTTGTTTGTAAAGTCTATTTTTGGGGATGGAACCTGCAGTGGTGGTAAAAGGTTACTTCAGCAGTGAAAACACTGTGATCTTGTATCTGTAACTTTGATGAAATAGTGACAGCCACAGTTTATTCTTGCAAGGCCTGATTGCTAATAAAGGGAAGTTTCATTTCAAACAGTTCATATGTCAAGAATTGCTCAACATGGCATATGCAAGCTCTGCTCTGCCATCAACATTTATTCCCCATATGTATCTCCTATTCTTCTTTTCTCTCTCTCTCTCTCTCTCTCTCTCTCTTGTGGGGTCTTTTTAGGTGATGCTGCAAATTCTGATCTGTTCAGAAACAAAGGGTTGTGATATAAATATGTTTGCACATGTTTTTCTGAACTCAAATCTCCCCTTGAAAATGTACAAACGCAAAGCTAGGGAACACAGAAATTAAAGACCTGAGGAAGTAGAACACTAGATGACAGAAACCACCACCATGGCAAAGGAGACCATAAAGCTTGCTCTTGAGAGTTGTATTATGACTTTCTACAGGGAGCTAAAGAATTCTGAGCCAAATCAGGAGTTTTGAGGAAAAGCTGGACACACAAAAAAGGATTTGAGAGGGGGAGGAGGAGGAGGAGGAGGAGGGAACAACTCAACTCAGCATCCAGCTGGAAGAAAGGAGGAATATTAATTATGTCCTTTGTGTCACCATATCACTGCCACAGCTCAGTGCAGGAGGATGGTGGCCTGGCACTGGACTTCACCTCCACACACACATACACACAAATCAGATCCAAACTGGTGACATCTCCCTCACAGGGGAAGTGGCCGAGGATGAGACCCAACAACTCATGCATGGATGCTGCAGAGGTTGGACAGCATGAACAGTAGTGACAACAGTGGGACATCACATGCCCTGCTGACTCCTCTCTCTGTTTGTGTGCAGTCACAAGGTCAGAGACCTTGTAGCCCTCACGTACCTACTAGACATTGATTGCAAGCATTCACTGAGATCTGGATAACATGACTAGTAGGACAAACTGTTGTGTTGTGGATGTAAATGCAAGGCAACAGTCCACCACATCACTTGCAACCACAATTGGAACTCATCACACCAATGAAACTAATATGAACATCACCATTTGGAACTTGAAAATGGAATGCTTAATGACACCCATAAACAACAAATCCATGACAGACAGCTGCTCCACAAAGTGTCATGCATTGGGGTGCAATTCCCCTGATTTAGATTCTTGACAAACAAAGGTGACAACTGCAACGAATTGAACAACTAC